AAATTCATGATTTTGACTTCCTATCTACACCTATCGTAACACGGGGAGACATTCTGCGGAGAAAGTGTGATATCTGTAATAAGCATTTGAGATAACCCTTATAAACGAAGTTTGAGCAAGCTCTACTACAAAATTTCTGGGGCTTGGATAGCCGAATAACGCCAGATTGATATTGCACTCGTAATCAGCATGCTCGATTACCCCCTGTGCCAACTCCCAGCCCCGTAGCTCAAACTTTGCAAAAAATCGATAGAATCGATAAAGGTAGCGGTTGATTCCAAAAACTAATATTGCACTCGTAATCAGCATGCTCGATTACCCCCTGTGCCAACTCCCAGCCCCGTAGCTCAAACTTTGCAAAAAAAACCGACAAAAATCGATAAAATCGACCGATCGGTGCCGAAAAATTGCCTTTGATACGCTTCCGCTCCGAAGTGTATGCGTGCCAAGGTCCGGATCGGTTTAGAAATGGAATTTTCTATTCGGAACATACGTACACACAGACAGACATACAGACAGACATACAAACAGACATTCAGCTTCATATATAAGATAGACATATTAATCAAATTTTGTAAGTAAAACTTAGCTAGACTTTACGTACTCTATTAAGTAGATTTTGTATAATGTAATACGAAAAGTAGGTCGATTTAGGCGTTAACCGCCGACAACCATCCGAATGATAAAATAACGAAAAATCATGCGAAATATCCACTGTTATAAATCTGGTGGTTGAGGATGTCAGCAACTGCGACTTAAAAGGTTTTGACGAATAAATGTTCTTCTACCTGATAGTGAAAAATCAGGCCGATTTGAGCAGTGGCCGCCGAGAACGATAATTTTGAAAAATTTTTATGTTGCTTAGTGTGACAGCTGACATTTCAACTCCAATAAATCTGAAGTGTGAAGGTATGCGATGTTGCGACTACATAGATTCTGTAGAGCAGGGTTTGCCCTACCAGAGTATATTCTTAGCCGTACCGTTCCATTTATGTACCGCCGAGATCCAGGCTTAAAAAAGCAGGTGCTTCAACAGCTTTTCAGAATTTCAACAGTAGAAAGCTGTTGAATTCTGAAAAGCAAAGCTGCTTTTCAGATTTCAACAGCTTATTACTTCTTCATAAATGCATTAATAATGTTGCGACTTTATAGGTTAGATTCTCCTTTTCAAGAGCTTTCAGATGATATATAAAATGTGGGAGTATCGCGCCTTCCACGACATATGCCCGGAGGTGGAGACTTTTCATCACAAAGTCTCCACTGGCGATCGCCAGCCAGTGCATTCAAATGGGCGAGACAAAGTCTTGCTTCGCCGTCTTTTGAAAAAATGACATTGAATGGTAGAAGGAAGGGAACAAGCACAAACAGTAACAGCACAAACATACGAGTATATTAGGTTATTTTGTTTGCTGGCTTGTTTAAACTTTGTCGATAGAAGACTGGAAAATTCGGAGGGAAAAAAGATGTTGAGAATGATTTTTCGCCCTTTCTTGTTTTAATGCCAGAGTTTATTTTTTCATTATTCTGTCAGGTTGATGGATTACGCATATAAATTTGCAGAGCAGAATTGGTTCAAAAGCATATATATTTTGCAAAACGCTGTGCAAAATATTGAGAAAAAATCCAAAAAAAGGGACAGAACTCATTAAACAAACAAGCTAATAAAAATAGCTGAAGTGCAGGCAAAAATGGTGGGTTGGAGATTTTGGCAACCATTCGAGTGGTCAAAGATTTTGAATCGTAAGCATTACTGCTAGAAAGCGGAAGAAAATTTGCATCAAACTTTCTTCAAAGCGTTTGTATAGCTTTATCTTAAGCGGATCTAGAGTAGGTCCCAGAAACGGCACGAACTTTCGGACTATATACAGGGTGGCCGAAAAGTATGGGCGTCAAATTTTTCGTTTAATGATTTTTCATAGCAAACAAAATTCTATAAGATTATTTTTGCATGCCAAAAACACAGACATCCTAGTGTATTATTCCTGCAAAACTGGGTTCTTGCACATGCATACAGACTTCAGCAGCTTACCTTGAAGTTGATGCGTCAAAAATGCTACTCGAAAAATGTACCCATTGTGAATCCGTTAAAATAACCCGATTATTAATCGAATAGATTCTAAGACCCGAGGTTTTGTAGAGCACATTCCCAGGAATAAAGCAGTGCCACAACATCAAAAAATTCTCCTTTCCAAATTAAGATATGATACTGCAAATATGGTGTTAATTGAACCCGCCGCAGCGCCTCTCAAGAGAAAGTAGATTCAGGAGTCTCGTTTACATCAGAAGACATCAGTTTGCGTGATTTTCACTTATTTCAATATAGAGACTGCCCATAAGCTACAGGCATATTAGCCGTCATGATAGAATATTCCAGAGAAAAGATATATTACATGTTGTAACGCCCATACTTGCCGGCCACCCTGTATATTAGGTCATTTCAAAAGTAATTTCGCTTTTTTCAAACGGGCGCCACATTTGATGGAACAGAGGTTTCTAAGAGATCTTGGTAGCGTTCGATGCAGCATTTCATCCTCTTTCTAATGATTATGAGATTTTTGCAAAACAATCATGAGCTTTCAGAAAGTAATGAAAATCTGCGACTTATGCTTTTTGAGACGGTCAAGTTTCACAATTTTTCTAAAATTTTATAACGAACCTCAAAAGAAGCGAAAGTAACGTATCTATAAAGCAAACCCTACACGATGCAAAACAAATTTTTTCTCCTTTCCACAGCTTGTCATTTATTTTTAACAGAATTTTAACTGATGCTACATTTCCATACTTGCACAGTTAAATCTTCATGGAACATCAAACGGCGAGCAGCTCGGGTGTCGTTCGATGCAACTTGTTCCCCTCTTTCTAATGGGTCCTTTTTGTTTCGATTCGTTCAGACTAAAATTCAGACTAAACTTCTTCGAGACTAAAATCCTTATACTCATTTTTCCAACAAGCCCCAGGCTGTGCCCGTAAAACCCGAAATTTGGTATTTCGAATCCGTAAACTCTTGCGTGCTTTGTAAAATTAGTGCTAACTCATAATACCATCTTGGTGTCTCAAATTCCGAATAATTATAAATTATGCTCTTTATTATAGTGTCTTTCCCACGAATTGAAAAGAAAAAGATCGAAAGTCATAAGCAAATAAAGAGAATTACTTCAGTTTGCAATTTTTGAGCATGCCCAAAAAGGCCCAAAAAAGTCGTAATATTTCCGGATTTTCGGGTCTGCGTTTTTCATGAAAATCAAAATTGCTCTCGATTGGCACGATTTTTACTCAGCTAGAAAGAGAAGGTTACAAAACCCATGTTCATGTCCCGCCTTTTCTGTGACGTTTTTAGGCTTTTTGAGCATGCTCAAAAATTGCAAAGCTGAAGAATTTTCGTTTTAATTCATGAAAAAGGTACCATTGTAATGAGCATAATTTTCTCTATCAAATAAAAATACTTCCAGAATTTTTCGTGACCCAGCTCGAAAAATGTCAGTCTTGACTGATTTCATTCAACTGCTAATAACTCTTGAAGTTTTTCAAAGTGATTCATGGCGGAGGTACCGCTGTAAAGAGCATGGATTCCTCTTTCGATTAGATATAATCACAATGAAATCCATCGAGTGTCAAGGAAGTTATGATTTTTTGAAAATGATGCGCAAGAACTTTCGGACCAACCTAGTATATATACAGGGTGTCCGTAAAGTATGTATACACTGTTTGATCGTTAATATCTTTCTTCCCAACAAATCTTTTGCCTTGTTTCAGGTACCGTTTTGTAGAATTGGCTTCAACTTAGATTCGCAGTATAAGACGAATCACCTATCTCTCTCCATTACTGTAGGAGTACGGTAGAAACTTCATGGAGGGTTTTGAGCCATGAAAAGCCATATTTTGCCTCAGAAAGGAAACAAAACAGCCTGAATGCACACTAGGTTAATAAGAGTTGTTGATTCTAACTGTAAAGTTCCCAGCTAATTATGATGCTTCATTAGGGAGTTATGCCGGGTAAGAGGTAAGGGTCATTTTTTCAATGTTCCTAAAAAGTGCGATTACACCGTTTAGAAAGTTTCGCAATCTTGTAAATAGTAGAGTATTGAACTCAGCATCCATAAAAACCCTATTACACAAGTTCTCACATTTTTTCGAAAAATTTTGAGACGACAGATTTTTCCACATTGAAACCATATGTTTCAAGTTTCTACCGTAATCCTACAGTAATGAAGAGCGATCGGTGATTCGCTTTATACTGCAAATCTCAGTTGAAGCCAGCTCTACAAAACGGTACCTGAAGCAAGGCAAAAGACTTGTTGGGAACAGATATATTAACGATCAAACAGTGTATACATACTTTACGGACACCCTGTATATTGGGATCCGGCAGTTGCGTGCCACACATCTTGCTCGACCTGGTCGTATGCTTTATATTTCCGATAAATTCGATTAGTTGGACAGTAAAGAAAAAACTTCAGTACTCTACTTTCTGAAAACTTATCAAAGTTATTAGAATGTTTTTTGCAAAAATTCCTATCTTTACGAACATTTTCTACAACTTTCAAACATGACGACTAAGAATAAGACTTTTCATTGTTCGTACCGCTACTACCATTTCATAAGCGGAACGATCTAATCGGTGTTGAAAGAGGAACGAATCAGGGAAATTTTGCAATACATGACAGTACGAAACAGTCTCACATCACACCTACCCTTGTAGTTCAAAAGAGTTTTCGTTATAGTGATGTGTTAGTAGATTTGACCGTCATCCTCATATTTCAGGTACATACTTCGTTTTTAGTCGGACCGCTGAGAATCAATCCAGTATGTGCTGTTGAATAAAAGAATTATGAGAAATGGAATGAGTGCCTCTGCTGAGAAAAATGAGATCAACTGTATGCACGACGTCAGCTTATCAGTTTTGCCCGTTTGCTATCTTTCAAATGCGTCAGTGCGCTGCTGGCCTTCCCCGTATACCAAATCAAGTTCTTATAAAGCTCTGCTTGTCACTGGCGGGCTATTCAGGCGTTTGAAAGAGCGCTCCATGCATTAATATCAATAACTCTAAGTTGTCCCACCTTGCATAGCGTGTTATTGTTATCATGAAACGATTCCCCTTTATATTTTGGATCAGATACCATCATTCTAGCAAATGTCTGAGCCCTGTTAAAACTGTTGTCGTTGTCGAAATTTCTGAAATTCGATAAACTGTGCAAAAAGCCGAAAAGGACTGTTACTTTAACTGACCTAGCATCGAATTCGTATAACGATCCTTTCTCAGAAGGTATTGGTTTACTATAGTGAAGAGCATCCACGAACATCCTGCACTCGGTGACACGACCATAGTGCTAAAGATGTCGTTTTCTTATATTGTAAAATTCAAGTACAGAACATGATTTGCACAAATGATTGCGATGGGTCTACTGGTTGACAAATACCTGGATGCAGAAATGCTGACCGATGAAAATCCAACTGGCTTAAAAGCCATTGTTTGTGCAAGTATCTAAGCTTAAGGCCTAGGGCAGAGTTCAAACGGTTTCATCGTCGCGATTCGTCGCGACGAGACAAGTGCTACGACTTCATTGCATTCCGATTTTCTTGTATTTCGGTTCTGATATCGTCGTCTTCCCGAGGCAGGTGGGGCGTGTCGCTGCACAAGTCCGCAAGTTGCTGTAATTGATACGGTATTTGCCACGGCGCAGAATTGATAGCGCCGAACAGCTGATGAATTTCGGACGCAGCAACGATGGGTGAGTTAGTTTTGCAACTAATCAAGCTTTTCCTTTTCTGATTTCAAAAGGAATTGCTAGGGGTGAGTCGTGAATGTTCATTTATACTTATTTCATAATATTGTGTCAGTTTTGACGCATTGCCGGTGCGGATGTAGCGCTCTAGTTGTTGCGTGCTTCTGTTTCTTTTTTTCTACTTATTAGTCGTGTTTATCAAAATTGCTTTTGCTATTTCATCGAAATACTTCACTATGCTTCCCCGTGCTCCATGTTTACGTTGTTATGTTTAGGTTCTGGTATGGAGATTTGAAGCGCAAGTGAGCATAATGAATTCGATGAAATGCGAAGGCAAATCCAATAAATACGACTGATAAAAAGAAAGAAAGAAGTATAAGCACATAATATTCAGCTAGAGTACAAAATCCTCACCGACTCTGCGTCAAAACTGACAAAGTAATATAAAACAAATGTAATTGAACATGTACGACTCACCTTTAGCAACTGCTATCGAAATCTGAAAAGAAAAGCATGATTGGTTGCAAGAATTACTCACTTATCGTTCTGCGTGCAAAATTCATCAGCTGTTCGGCTCTATTGATTCTGCGCCGTGGCTAGTACCGTATCAGTTACGGCAACTTGCGGACTTGTGCAGGGACACGCCCCATCTATCTCGGGGAGACGACGATATTAATCACGATCAGTTGTGCTGGAAAACTACCACAACCGAAAGGCAAGAAGATCGACATGCAGTGATATTGTTAGCTTACCTTGTCGCGATAAATCGCGAAAATGAAGTCACGTAAACTTTGCCTGAGGCCTAAGGCAACTTCCAGCGATCTCGACAAGTCGCTGCATACCCGCGACAGTAAAAAGCATCAAGCCTTGCCCAAGCAAAGTGCGCTTACGACCAATCATGAAGATCCTTTACAGTCCCAGATCGCGCAGTGACAGGAGTCGCGTGAGGTATGCCTAAGAAGTGAAGACAAGAGAGTAACTTACCATAATGTTATCGAAGCTACCTCCGTTTTTAGTGCAAAAGTAGCTGAACCCAGCCCTTAGGTTTTCACTCCATTCGCTTAGATTACGGTCGTAGATATTCGATTTACGTTCTGGACATTTGTAAGGGTGAAGCAGGGAAAATCTGGCGTAGAAGGCAGGCAAGAGCTAAAAACTTCAATCATCACCGATTTTCCAAAATAATAGTGAATTATACCTACTTACAACGAGTATGCGGTAAAACAACATTTTTTAGTTACACCCTCCAAGCGCTTTTATACCGGGAGAGCTTTACGAATGAACAAATCAGCGGGTCTGTAATTGACAAAGTGCGTCTGGGATAGAATGAGTAGTTGTAGTATTTGTGTGGTACACTGTGTTAGAGCAGATGTTTGTTACACTATAGCTATTTGGAAAAGTTTTCGAAATGGTATGAATGGGAGAACTGTTTAACTTTTTGCTCTTCTGATTTGTTAAAAGTGTGGATAAGAATGCATCAGTTGTTTTCTGGATACATGTGGAAGTACATTCATATGACAAAACCTTATTGAGTAGTTCATATACTATTAGGTTGGGACATAAGTAATGCAACTTTTTATATAACTTCTGTCTATTTGAACGTAGCGCATTCATTTTTTGGCAATATAAGGAATATGATGTAAGCTTCTAATGCACACATTTTTGCCGAATTTTACCATTATGTGAGGATTACGGTAGGTTTACGGTACTATGGGAAATTTAGAATGCATCAGATTTTGCTGAAACTTGGCCTATAGGGCTTATTTGACATGCTGATCACAAAAATGAGATCCGTTTCGCATGAAAAGGCCTCGTTCGTGAGATCAAAAGATGAATTTTATTTTAGCAACAAATGAATATGATATTCGTGTTCATCGCATACGATTACCCTATAGTGCAAAGTTATAGCGAATTCTGACTTTTCGCAGCTTAATTATTGACAAATTGCCTTCAAAACTTGACGCATTTGACTTGTTCAAATCCTCAAAGGCGCCACACCTTAATTTGTGTTCAAATTTCATTTCTTTCTCACTGATTCCAATGTGGCAACTTCCAGCTACATGCTGCCTATAATTGCTTCTTCATATGTTTGAATCAGGTTTCGTAGGGCTTCATGTTTGCCAAAAAATCGTGAAACCTCAATTTTCAGCAGTTTTCAAAAGACGCTTAGATTTTTTGTACTACGTTATCAAAAATCAAACGGTTTGCGCAGACTTGCAGCTCACATCACGTTCTACATGATGCCACAAAATGAGATTGCTACATAAAATAGGAAAAAAGTTACGGGAAAAGTTGCAAAACTTATGTGCCAACCTAATATTTTCAGTTTTGGTGGAATTCCACAAATAATTCTGGGAATTCCAGTGGCAAACAAATCAACGCAAAAATCTGATCCTTGAGTGCATCTAAGTTTCTTACAAATCGCGATCACGACATCTGGGAGTTCCAAGCTGCTTGACTATATTGATGGTTTTGCAATTTCTGCGCCATGGTAATATTCTAATCATGCTTGCATTGTACGCAAATGGAGCGCAGTTGAATCAAACAAGACTGAGGATGCCCAACTGATTGCAAGAGTACAAGGAGAGATGTGCTTCGTGAAATAAATGGATAGAGGGCGCCAACAATTTTTCTTAGGTGATACCAGCATGTAGACCCACTACGATAGGCATCAGCGGCAGTCCACACACTTTTTTCGGTTTTACGTAATGTGAGCTATTCCAAAGTTTTCAATCAATGTGATTCAGGGATGCCACAGCTCGCACTTTCTTTTTTGACTTAAACGCAGAGTCTTCTCGGCAGATTTTTCCAGTTTTTCACCTTTTCGGATCCTTCTCGCCATGGGAAATTCTCATCTCGGCTTTCCAGTGCATGAAAATGGCGAAAATAAGATTTTTTCCGAAGCTTTCCAGGTCCGCAGTCAGTAAAGATATTCAGAAGTCTTCTGCTCCCCGCCTCCCTCATTCCGGGCCGTGCTTACTTACAGGTATTTTCCACCAATCGCGGGCTTGGAAAGCTCTGAAAGAAGCTCATTTTCGCCATTTCCATGCGCTGTAAGACCCAGGTATGGATTCCTCATGGCAAAAAGGCTGCGGAAAGGTAAAAAATTGGAAGACAAAATTCTGATGAGACACTGCTTTTGAATGGCAGCAGCACTTGCTTGCAGTGTCAAAAAAGAACCACTGCCGAACCAGAGCACAGAAAAATTCCGTTTCTTGAAGCGACGTTATAAAAGAAAGTGTTTCCGTAGCAACACTGAGCACTATCAGAACTCTATCCCGCCCTCCTATCTGTGCATGGCATTTTTCTATAAGGGAGTATTTAGTAACATTGGAATGATCGATTATTGGCAAATGTCAAATAATCTACACTTCTGCGAGTGTTGTGGACAAGCAGTGGTGAAATGATTCGTTGAAAAATTTTATATACTAGATTGTCCGGGAAATGATGTCTCATCGTGTTTTATCAAGCAATATCGTGGCAGAAAGAGCATGAAAGTAAGTAAATGGGGTACCAACCGATAGATCAAACAAGGTTGACAAAACAAAGCTCGAATCTTCGCGCCAATTCTAATTCGCTTGAAGTTTGGAGCCAAATTTCATAGGGCACTAAAGATCTAAAAACTAAAAAAATTGTATCTCCGTTCAGGAAAATCCTGGGAATCCCTAATCTGCTTATGCATGAACTCACAATATTGGACACTCGTATGCACATTTTCGTGGATTTTCCATGGCAGAGAAACAGTAGATGCAAAGTTCTCAAAAACTATCAAATAGTCTATCCACAACCACTTCGTGACTTTGCTTGGACCAGTGTTTTAGATAATCTATAAGTTATAGCTCCACACAAAAAGTGACAAGGTTCATTGGGTTTGATAGGGCATAAAATAGCTCAACTCTTAGTTTGCAATCTATGGTTTATGATTGCAGATCCTGTTTAAGGAATTCTTATATAATGGCTCTTTCATGCATCACTTGTAAAATGAGTGCATAAGATCCCTTATGTCATGGAATTAGTAGAAACATATGCTTGCCTGATCAACACAGCAAAGGACCTGTCCGGAGAATAATTTTAACCTAATGTCAATATTGGTGAGCGATATGAAGGATAAACCATATGACAGCATATAGTACTTCATGACAATATTTATGACCGATGTGTTCCTTCTTAATTGTGAATCCTAAGACCATACCAAACAGGAGCAGTAGCTGGAACCGTATACATGCAACTCAGTTTATTTGCCTGTATAATAGTCGCTCATTCATGTGACGACTATCTTTTGACGTCAACTTCAGCTAGTTTTCAAGTGTACTTTACGTGGTTCTTCAATGCGTACAACCTCTTTACAACAACGGTATGGCTGATGTTTTTCATTCGAGGTCATTTTTCTCTTCACGTAGTAGCTTCTGCTTGCTTCTACAGACTCCTTTCTTCTGCATTCTGAATGACTTCCGTGCATTTCCTGTGTCTTCCATTATTATTCTTAGCCTCTGAATACTATGCAACTATGATTTTAGTTCTTAGACCTTCCATCCATACTCTAGGAACCTTAGTTTTGATTTTTACAGTTCATCAAA